GATGTGTTTCTGGCACAGTAGGGAGGCCAGAGAATGTAAAAAAATCCACTCAGGCTTCATCATATCATAATTTTGTGATGGGAAGTGAAAGTAATCAGCAATAAGACAAGTTTTGTTGTGTCCAAAACCAAGAGGATGATGTAAGAAAAATACTTGGCTACTGCTTGTGGAGCCTATTTGAGTTTCTAAAAGCATCTTCTGGCAGAAATTTTGAAAACAGGATGTATTTGGCATTAGCAGAGTGTCAGGCACCATTGCTTAGTCTAGCTAGCTAAAAAGAGCAGTGTTTTTGGCTGTGCTTTTTACAGTATATATTTTCCTACATGAAGTTCCATTAAAATAAAAACTGAAAGTTCAGTGCATTTTAAAATACGTTCTATGTAAGATGGGGTGTAATGATGCTTCTACATGGCTACGAAGGTTGAAATAATGTAGAGTTAGTATTTTACAAATCTAAAGCAGTTTTGATGAAAAAGAAGGGCCTGATCCTGGAAAGACACCTGAGAGAATTTCTTGTTATGGTATTCTCTTCTTGCTTATTGCTTAGCAGAAAGCATTACTAATGATCATCTAGTTTCAATGAAGTATTGGTAACTTGTGAAAATCATTAAGGAGTTAAAAAAAATAATTAGGCATTTGGGCTTGACGTTGTATACACAAAGTTTCAGACTTGTTCAATTTGAAATGGTCAAGATATGAAACCATAAAAAATGTGAATAAATACTCTGCATATCAAGGGTTGTTATGCAATTACATGCTTTCAGCATGGTTCTTACTGAGGGAAAACAGTAGAGAGATCTGCAAGACATATTCAGTGAATAATTACAAACTTTCATAACTTAGCTACATAAAAATAATAATCCACTTGTTGCTTTGCTACTACTAAAATATTAAAATGTGTGCATACGTTTGTTTTTTTCCCAGAGCAAAGCCATTCTGACTGTATATTTGTTAGAAAGTTATCTGAAAAACTTGAAATTCCCTCTGCCCCCACCCCCCAGTTTTGGCCAATCTCCAAATTATAAACAGCTGAACAGATTTAAATAAAGTTTTCAGTACAACAAAAAAAAAAGTTACATCTGGGCTGACAAAAACATGCGCCAAGTTTCAGCCTAATGTGATTTGAGACAACTGTGATATTAAACCTCAGACCTCGGAACTGGAATGGAAATAGATACAGGCTCTTTGCTGCACTGGCCCCTTCAGAATTTGGGATTGTAATGTAGTGGTTATAAGGCTCCAAATTATTAAAGCTTGACTTAATAGATGCATATTCTAGTTATTTAGACCCTATTGGCTTATTCTTCCAATGATGTACAGGAGATTTTAACTGATAACTCCAACTAGTGCTAGTGCCATTGATCACTGACCGAAACCTTTTTATCTGTGTCTCAAACCATCCCATGACTAGTCATGTTGACTTACCTTTACTGGGCTGATTTTTAGAAATTAACTATGGTAAGTAAATTCACATTAGAAAAAGAGCAAGAGGTTCCATAACATTTCTTGAAAATGGTGGCTAGGTGCTCATTAGAGCATTTGAGCACATGGCTGGGTTCTATGTGGGTTGTGGGCCATAGTTGTTGCTCAGGCTTTGCTGGGTTTGAGCTCAAGTGCCTGTTTCTTTGTGACACTACCAAGAAAAGCAGCAATATTGGCCAATATTATTGACTAGTACAAACTGAGTATGCAAAGCCAAGCAGACTCGTGCAGAAGTATTGTCACTGACAGTAGAAGTATAATCACTAATTGACATTTAGCAACAAAAAATATGAGTTCATTTCTGCTTGCTAATAGCTTATAAAACTTTGTGTATGGGAAGTAAAGGTCTAGGGTTTTGTTCCTTTTGGGGTTTGGGGATTTTTTTAAAGAAACTATATTTGTTTAAGATGATCGTAGAATCATAGAATTTAAGAGTTGGAATGGACCTTACAGGTCATCTAGTCCCAATCCCCAAGAGCTGAGATTACAGGCATTGTAGGCTTTCTTAGAAAAACCTCCATTTTTCTTGCAGACATTGCAAAAATTTCTGAGGTGTCTTTTGACAAGCAGGTCCATTCTGTGCTTAGTGGCATCTGGGAGTCAAGAATATCTAGTCCAATCCTGCCACAGTCTGGTTTCATCCCAGGAAATCCATTCTAAAGCTATGTGTCCCCACTATAAAGAGCTATTTCGTAACCAAAATGCTCAACAAGTAACAGCATTTATTTTTTTCCAGAAGTGGTTTAATTATTCATTTATTTGTGTATGTAAGCTATGTTGAAACACTTTGGTACTGGAAGAATCAATGTGGATTATCCTGTAAAGACTTTAAGAAATATGGAAATAGGAAAAGGTAAAGAAAGATAAGATACAATGCCTAGAGCAGCAGGAAAGACAAATTTACATACTTTGCATTAAATTTAGGGAAGGATGTTTAGGTGGCCTACTTTGAAATTGTAAACAAGTAAATAGTTTGCAAGTACTAAATAAGCAGAAGTATAGGTATTTAATACATATACCTATTACTGTGTATTTTGTAGATCGTTGTCTGATGTAGTCATTGTACTATTTCGTTGCAACTAATGTCCAGTTTGAATCAGATCTTTCTTTAAAAAAGAAAGAATGAATTGCTTTTGTCAATATTTTAAAGATATGCTAGCTCCCTAGCACTCTATGAAGATTTCAGTGTAATTACACCATCTAACCCCATTCAGATGTGTAGAAATGCAGCATATAAACTAGACCTTTCTATATATTTTTTGAGTTTTCCTGACTTTGTAGAGGCATTTCCCAAACTCCAGGAATACTAACAGAAATAAAAACGGGGAAAGAGTGACTCAGATTAAGACTCCACTTGGTTAATACACCACACCAAGAAACCATAGGCCAGCAGACAAGAAGTAGGAATGGAAAGGAATGGTTCTGCAGTTGTAGCTGAATCTTGGGCATATACAGTCATTTCCGCTTGGAAACTTCTCACCCTCCAAGTAGACCAAATTGGGATTAGTTTAGTGAGGCTTTTATTGTGCTCTTACGGAAAGTATTTCAGCAGCCAGGTGAAGCTGGGCAAGGATATGCAGCCACAAAAAGAATTGGGACCTTCAATTTGCTTGTAGATGTGTGCACCTTCTACGGGTGAGCTGTATCTCATATGCACAACTAGTCAGATGTTCACTGAAGGACATCAACTTCCATTTAGTTCTCTCCTTAACCAGACTGAGAAAAATGTCATATATGAGTGCTTCTGATTTACGAGACAAAGTGGGGGATGATGTAAGGGGGTGAGAGAGAGATTATCTTGACGACAATCCTGATTTTATTGTACCACTTTAAAGTAGCACAACCTGCTGTACTAATGAAATTGTGTTCTTGGTTTAAAAGGGCAATTGTTAGCCTGACTTTGTGATCACTAAAAACATTTCCCCAATCTTGTTAAATTATTGCACTCATTTCAGATTTTTATGGCTGTGCAGCTTACCAGCCCTCGTTTCTTTACGTTTCATTCATTTTCCTTGTATTGATGATTAATGGAGGATGTCGAACGTTAGAGTGAGCAGGCATCAGCAAATGCAAGATCATAATTAGTTTAGCTGACGAGGGCCTCTGATAGCACTTGCATCTGGATGGAAAAATTACCCTATAGGGAACTGGCTGCTCACCAGGTCTTTTTAGTGATACATTGTGAAACACCCGATGAATCAAATGCCCTTTCAATGCCAAGAAAGTGTTCCAGTCTTGAAGCCAAAATTATGTCTGCAGAAAGCTTTCCATTTGAAATGTATCAGAGTACAATTATAACCATTGTATTTTTTTGGCATGAGCACCAGTCTTCTACAGTATGAACTAAAGTTAAATAAATTACTTAAATTTTGCAAAACCCTGAATTTTTTACTTATAGTGTTAGTAATTTTTAATTTATAATAAAATTATTTTTCTTCCAGACTGTTTTCCCCTGTACTCACTCATTCTTATCTTAGATGCTGAAGGTTTCTTACGGATTTTTTTCCTTTGCAAAAAAGGAACGGAGTTGAAATTCAGATTTTCTTTTCAGCAGAAGAATTCTGATTTCCTGCTTATTAGTATTTGTGCCCATAAAGAGTCTGGCTTTTGTTTAAATGAGAAGTTTAATGATATCATTACTCCATAGAAAAAATTTAACAAGCAATACTCATAAATGTGTCTGCTTTTAAATATTCCTGGATCATTATGAAATCTGATTAATGTGCAGATCGGTCTGGTTAAAAATCACTTTGTTTTTAGGGAAGGTGTACTGTGCCCTTCTTTTCCTGACTAAAATATAATAAATAAATCTCTCTGTCGATAAGACAGTGTTTTCTGAGGTTTCATATGAAGTTCAGAAGAGATCTCATTAGAGAACACTGGGTTTTCATTTGTATGGCAGAGGTTACTCCTTGTCTATAGTGGGCTATGGGAAGTATATGGTACCTTATACTGTTTTCAGAAGTAAGTGGGAAAGGCTGGAACTGAATGTCATGTATTCAATTAATAAAGTATAATCTCCATTAAATGAATTAGTGTGACGCAGGTACAAACTGGAGTTAATTGAAGTGGTGATGTTTCAGAATTCTTGTTACCAATCACACTTTAAAAGCTAAGCTAAAAGCATTTTAAAAGCAAGCTAAAAAGAAATAAGGTTGTGAAACCAGAAGGAGTTTGCAGAATGTTCTGTCAGCTTCCAGAGGGTTTTTTTTTCAGAATTTGCTGTTTAGAAACTATCATTAAATGCACAAAACCTGAAGTTCAAAAAGTTAAAGCTGTTATTCTGAAAAGGCTTTGGTGTTTCACACACCTCATCCATCACTCTAGGGTTAATTATAATGAAAATCAGTGGTGCCTATTAAGCACAATTGAACCTGACCTCATTATGGGCAGTGTGGTTTTATACTGTCATTGTTGCCAGTCTAGAGACAAAACTCCTGTGTTGATTTGTCCTAACTCCGCAGCTCATGTGACTCACCTCTGACCTGGTTTTTTTCCCTTTTTCTTCCCTATTTCAGAGACGTAGAGGCTCGGGTGTTTTTTGTGCCAATTGCCTGACCACAAAGACCTCTCTCTGGCGAAAGAATGCAAATGGTGGATATGTATGCAACGCGTGTGGCCTCTACCAGAAGCTTCACTCGGTAAGAAGAACTTACCGGTTTGTTCAGTGAAAAAAAAGGGTTATACAGCTATGCTGGGCAGCTGTGGTCTTGTCTGGTTGTGTGATTAGTACCACTCCCTGGCCTGCAGTTAATTTCCTAACAGGGTTTCGCAGAATGGTCACTTTGGGATCAGATGTGATTCATTATGAAACAGGCTGGGATGCTGTGGGCAGACGTGTTTGAGATCACCAGTGATGCATTTAATTATTTTGATACAAAATAAGGGGAAAATAATTTCTTTTCTGGGAATTCCATTTAAAGGCATACAATATGTTGTGATGAAAGCTTGCTAAATTCAAGAATTCTCATGTTCGTAATAAGACCCACAATTCTTAAAGTTAGACATCACATCTGTATCAAAAATATATCTTGCTGGTTTTTGTTTGCTTTCATATCCCTTGCCTCCTTTATTCTTGACAGTAAATTTCCTGGAGATATGGGGTGGTGGGTTTTTGTATTCTTTTTTCTGCAGTTCTTATGGTCTGCTGGAGGATACTGAAATAACTCAACAAGGAAGCTATTCACTTGATGGCACTCATCACTTGGTGAGGTGAAGATTCACCATCCCTCAGGATCAGGCAGAGAATACGTACACTTATTCCCTGTATAATCATGGACTGTCAATACTGCTTTTCATCCTATTGACACTTGACTTGATCCTGAAAGATGTTGAATGCTCTGGTCTAGGTCCAGGAAAGCCACGCTTAAGTGTTCCCTTGGATCAGTGCCAAAATACGTGGAATCTTTTAGGTTAAGACCCACTTGTTAAATATTATCCCCCTTGTCTTTAATAGAAGCACATGGGAGAGTCAGGTGACCAAGATTTGACTCTAATTAATTAAGTTTTAGAACATTCCCATGAAATTAAAAATGTTACTATTTTTCAGAAATAGAAACCGAGGCAGCCTTTGGGAGTTTGCCAAGGCAACATAGCATTTCAGGCTTAAAGCCTAAATCAGAAATCTGTGTGGTGGCTGAGAACGTGCATTTTTTAAAACTTATTTCAGAAATCAGATTTGAGGAATAAGCTTTTAAATGGTCTTGTGTATAGCCCATGTAACTATCCTGTTTACTCAAGATCCTGCTGGGCCAACTCACTTAATAAAACAGAAAAGTATTCCACTTTTTAAAGCAGCAAGACCATCACCAGACTGAAAGGTTAGCTCTGTTTGCCATGTGCTGTCACTCTCAGGTCAGTAACTGTTTCAAAGCTCCAGAACAGCCCAGCCCAGTCAGTCAAATAGCATCTGAGCAGGAAAAGATGGAATAATACACAGTCTCTGGCCAGCATCTTGTCCGGGTCTTGTTGCAAGTATCATCTACCTGGAGGCCTCTCAAAGTTATAGCTATAATATCTAATTTAAGGGAATTGATCAGTGGTGAGCATCCACAAAGATTTTAAGAAGAACTTACTAATTATTTTTTCTATTTGGCATTTGAGGCCAGTTACTTGTTGAACTTCCATTTGCAGCCTCCATTTTCCCTTTTTTTAAATACACTTTTCTAAACTAATAGTGTTGGACCTTACCATTAGCATAATTTACTGAATAGATATAAGCTACAAGGATCAGTTTTGTATTCAAACACATAACTTGGATCATTCTTACAAACCAGTAGGAATGAACTGGTGTGCTTCCAACAATAATAATTAGAAATACAATGTTAAAATTTATTTTATGCATGTCAAAGGCAAGAGGCTGACACTACCCTTAGCTCCACTGTTTAAGCATGGCAATAAGCTGTCATTCAGTGGACATTTGACATTAATATTTTCAGTTGTACTTTGACCAAACAAACACAAATCATTTAATTAAGCTTTACTCTGCTGTGGTATGACAACAACTCCATTTTAAGTTGAGGTGAAATAATCAAACAAATTTCTCCTTTGGGCACCTATTGAGACAGTCCCATATAGAGGGATGTTCTTGAGTCTGACACCAGAAACACAAAAGTTTCTTTTGTCCATCTGGCTGTCTGTACATGAAGAATTGCACCAAGTGTTTGTCAGATATGTTTTTGAATTAAAGGATATTGGATAATGCAGCTATTAGGTAAATGTCCAAAATTATAAAAATTCAAGGAAATGAAATTCCTTTCTAAAAGACACCCTGTTCAACTAAATTAAGCTACACTGCTGGGTAAAATTCACCCACAAGATAGTTTGCACATTTCTTAGATCCCTTTTGATTGGAGTATTACTATCTAGTACAACCATTCTCAATTAACTCAGGCCTAAGGTCCCTTTTCTACTTGCATTTAATAAGAAAAAATAATCTGTGGTCTCTCAGATACTGCTAGGTGGTAGTGACTGACAAATGTTTACATGGTAGTGATTTCTGCTATAAGTCACATTTCTATTTCTATAATACCCTTGAAAAATTTCTCAATTTGTTTTCAAAAATGTTCAGTCTATCTAGGGGTCATTTACATTAAAATTGCCTTATTTTTCACATTTCTCTTCTTTAATGCAAACAACAATGTTAAGAAATGTATAATAATAATACAAGTGGCAATTATTAAAATATTTTTATGAGAAAAATGCAGCTCATTGCAAACATACACACAATATTTACATTTGCTGTCTACCAAGAATCATGAATTTGACCATTATTATTGTGATGCTGTTCCTCATTTTTTAAAAGCTCTAATTTGGTCATCAACACTAGATTTTGTTCCACAGTGATTCCTTGGTCATATCCTCAGAATGCTTCAGTGAAAAATTATGGCATATCTAGGATTAGTCTAGTGAAGGGATCAGTCCAATTTCCCACAGTATCTAGGGAGTTTAATATGTAATATAATATAATGAATTGTTTGCTGAATTTTGGTGGGTTTTTTTGTTGTTTTGTTGGGTTTTTTTTAAGTTACTCATATATTTGGAGTAGGGAGATTGCCAGTTGATACAGAGATGGCAAAAAAAATTTTGTGATCATCCTAAATACGTTACATATGACATATAACTAGTGATCTCACACAGACCATTTTAGAAGTAAAGTTCTGGTAATGTTTCCACCATTTTCTAAATTTAATGTCACATTGAAAATCAAGAAGAGAGCTTAAGCTTTCCTATCTGCCCTGGCTGCAACCAAATACAGAATATTACTAGCTCTACCTTACTACTATGAATAAGGAAAATAAGCAAATTTACACCACTTAATAGTCCGTTTTAACCATATAAAGACTAGTCTAATCAGATGAATACAGTCATATGCATGCTGAAGTATTTTAAAGTTGGACCTACAGCCTTTAGCTCCTCATAACTGCAAATAAGTGTGTGAGGGTCCCTAATCACAGGTATGAACTTCACTTTAACTACTTCCACAATCAGACTTCATATCAGTAGCATGAAGAGTAAGACTAGAAGTATTTCCAAAATATTGAAAGGTTATCTGGAAGCTGTATGAAAATGGTGTGTATTGTATAATAAAAGTTTAATAAGAGCAACAACAATATTGTAAGATCTCACACAGCATGTCAGTATGACTGTGTTACCATTGTCATAAAAAGGCAAGGAAATTACACGGAGCTAGTAATGAAGAGTATGTGCCTAAGCATATTAATCAGCTACTGATTCTGCAAACTATAAATTCTATCTGCACATAATTTACATAGAAAATAGTCTAATTTTATCTAACATGATTTTGTCTCAACTCTGATCCATGTGAGGAGGCTGGTTCAGGTGATGTTTTTCTCCTAAGTTTAAATTTCTTGTATTAAAAATCTAAATCAAAGTGTGTACCACTTCTGATTCAGTGTTTTAATAGAAAGCAAAATCTTAACAAATAACTGCACTGTCTAAAAATGTAGCTAACCATTAAGAATAAGCCAACCATAGGGAAATAAATAGGTGAAAGTGGAGAGGAAGATGGCAAGTCAAGACAGACACTAGATCTCTACAAATAATAGAGCGAGTGCTCTTCCAGCTCTGAATGTTTTATATTAGTTTGAAGTTATGAACATATAAAAATTCAAGGAACAAATTGCTTTGGATATAGACAGTAAGCCAAAATTAAATCTGCACTTTAAAACAATGTTAAAATTTC